ATTAACCTGACACAAACGTAAGTAAATTGAGTGATCCTTCAGCATGCACACTTTTCGTATTGTCTCACCCAAATTCAGTCCCTACTGCGGTGCGTTTGGACCGGTAGCGGCTAGGAAGGCCAGAGACGTCAAAACTGCTGCAAATCAGAAGCATATTCTGTGGCGGCGAGTCCCGCTACAGGGTGCTATGGTGATGCCAGCCCTATGGAGAAAGTATGACAGTGGTGTCTGGCGTTCGAAGTCTACCATGGGGCCGCGGGAGGGCCGGCACCTCCTCTCCGACGGCCGCTCGCCCCGACAACGGCACGAGGCCTGTCCCCGCTGACCTTAGCCGACGCCGCCACAAACGTCACCAAAACAGCCTCGCCGCCAAAGGCAACATGGCCCGGTCTCCGCCGCACGTCACCGCCGATCAGTCAGACGCTGGCGGCAGTGCTCCGGACCGTGGAGATCCGCACCGTCTGGTCTCCGTCTAGCGTTATCCCACCCCGGGTCACACAGCAGCAGCGGTGCTCCGGACCGTGGAGAGGGCGCCCCCGTCTGGCGTTATCCCACCCCGGGTCACACAGCAGCAGCGGTGCTCCGGACTGTGGAGAGGGCGCCCCCGTCTGGCGTTATCACACCCCGGGTCACATAGCAGCAGCAGTGCTCCGGACCGTGGAGAGGGCGCCCCCGTCTGGCGTTATCCCACCCCGGGTCACACAGCAGCAGCGGTGCTCCGGACTGTGGAGAGGGCGCCCCCGTCTGGCGTTATCACACCCCGGGTCACACAGCAGCAGCGGTGCTCCGGACCGTGGAGAGGGCGCCCCCGTCTGGCGTTATCCCACCCCGGGTCACACAGCAGCAGCGGTGCTCCGGACTGTGGAGAGGGCGCACCCGTCTGGCGTTATCACACCCCGGGTCACATAGTAGCAGCAGTGCTCCCGGCTGTGGAGAGCACGTAGCCCGGTTTCCGTCCCCAGTCGCCATTGCTGGGTCAAATATAAGCGGCGGAGCCCCAGGTCATGATTGGGTGTGGTCCAGTTTTCGTTCCACATCAGTACCGCTTGGTCGAGCGTAATGAAGCGTGTCCCTGACTATGGAGCACGCACATGGTACAGACCAGTACATAGTACTCCCACATCATCATCGTCAGATGATACGTCAGCAGCAGCGCTGCCAACCGCAGAGACGGGACATAGTCGAGTCCCCGCCTGATGTCCCCGCCGCTGGATCAAACATCAGTAGCAGCGCCGCCGACCGCGGAGATGGGACACAGTCGAGTCCCCGCCTGATGTCACCACCGCTGGACCAAAGGTCAGTAGCAGCGCTGCCGACCACGGAAGGGGACATAGTCGAGTCCCCGCCTGATGTCACCACCGCTGGACCAAAGGTCAGTAGCAGCGCTGCCGACCACAGAAGGGGACATAGTCGAGTCCCCGCCTGATGTCACCACCGCTGGACCAAAGGTCAGTAACTGTGCTCCAGACCATAACATAGCCGCATAGCCCGGGCCCCCTACCACAATCACTGTTAGGTCGCAGATCAGCGCCGCTGTGCTAGGGATAGTGGAGAACAGCCGCTGCCCGGTCTCGGCCTACAGCGCCACAGACATCAGCTGTTATTTTGTTTTACCAGTTTTTGCCGCCAGTTTCTGGCATCAGGCTTTAGCCGATTAATACCAGCTGACCGAAACCGTTCCACCCGCTTGCTGCCAACACTGGAACAAGTAGTGTGAGTAGGGTTAGTGACAGGGCACAAACGGCGTCGAACGGCGCAAGTCAACACCTCACATCGTTGGCACTTAAACGGGTAAGAATGACGAGCTGCACACTCCAAGTGCCAATTCAGATGGAAAACCTCGTGTTTTACGACAGGCTTTCAAAATTACGAGAACATTACTATTTCTAGCGATGCTGACAAATTCACGTTTTCTGGACTCGTTTTTTTGGATGCAATCCTTGTGTCAAAACACTAACTTACATTGTAATATATTTGTCTCGCAAATACATCAGGCAAAATGCGTCTATGCTACGGCCAACCTTTAATTCTCAAATTTAGCTACCCAAAATATAACCTATCTAGCCGCAAATTATTCAGCTAATCAACGACATGAGTTCTCTGTCGGCACAATGTTGACCGGCCTCCTGAGAAGTTAGGAACCTGAGTGATCTCCGGGCAATAGGTCAATGCGCCAACCAATGGAGAACAGTTATCGCAGTTGCACTTACGAGTTCAAAGTTTCGACTCACTAATCCCGTCAAAATAATACCATCTCTAACTCTGTTGGCCTGCTTGGCGCCATGGCTGCATGCGTGGATTGTTCACACCAAGGCTTCACAAGCAGGTAGTGTCGTCCGGGTCGAGAAAACGGCAACATTCACTGCACAGTTCAAAACGTGATAAGCTGTGCCACCTTATTTGACATCAGTGAAGAGCGGGAGGTATCGATATGTCGCCATATGTTTCACAGGAAAGAAGACTTTGGTCACCGCTAAATGTGTCGGATTAAATTGATATATGTCCTTCGCAGCAGCCGTTTGCATTAAGTAGCATGTCAGCCTTTACATACACCCCACTCGAACTTTCCGCTCAAAACCGTGCGCTTTGTTTCCAGACTCCCTTGAAATCACAGCCCATGGCAGCCAACAGCCTACAATCACAGCCCATGGCAGCCAACAGCCTACCATCACAGCCCATGGCAGCCAACAGCCTACAACCGCAGCCCATGGCAGCCAACAGCCTACCATCACAGCCCATGGCAGCCAACAGCCTACAATCGCAGCCCATGGCAGCTAACAGCCTACAATCACAGCCCATGGCAGCCAACAGCCTACAATCACAGCCCATGGCAGCCAACAGGCTATAATCACAGCCCATAGCAGCGAATAGGCCGTAAGCGCAGCCCATGGTAGTGAACAGGCTACAATCGGATCCCATGGCAGCGAACAGGCTACAATCACAGCGCATGACAGCGAACAGGCTACAATCGGATCCCACTCTTGCCAACGTCAAGTGCTACTGATAGAACCCCTGTAAAACTGCTGCTTAAAGCCTAGGCTGTCACCCGGACCTAACGTAGCGGGACCATTTCGCGCTACCCTGCACAACTGTAAGCAGCCGCTCTGATGTAACGGACGAACGCTCGACTCTGCGCCGTCTCATCAGATGCTCGCCGGGTCGGCAGGGTCGCCAGGCGGCGCGACTGACACTTGACTCGGCGCCGTCCCATCAGATGAAATCAGGCTGGCAGGGTCGCCAGGCGACGCGGACACCCGGGCTCGGCGGCCGCACCACGTCATTAGCTAATGGCGGTGCGGTCACGTGCCAGCCGGCCGCCAGGTGGCGCGCCATATCGGGCCCGCTCCCACGAGCGGAGAATCGGCGCAGCGGGCACGGCCGGCGGGCACGGCCGACTCCCGCGCCGACGCGACGCGCACGCACACACGTCCCAGCCGCGGTCAGCTGGGTCAGGTCGCCGACCGAACCGGCAGACGGTCGCCGAGCAAGAGCGGCCGACCCCCAGTGCCAGACGTCTGGACAGGTGACGCGTATGGCAGATGTGAAGAGCTAATCCCGCCGGCTTGTCTGTACGCACAGCACACGCTCGTGTGTACAGCCGTCATCCAGAACAAGGCGTCGGAACACAACAGGGCGCCAGAACGGAGCATGGCATCAACCAGGACAGGACGTCAGAACGCATTGGGGGGAGGGGTCAGAACAGGGCGTCAGAACAGAGCAGGGCGTTAGCTAGAACGGGATGCAGATCAGAAAGCGGTGGAATATGCCGTTGAATACGATCCCTTGACTCCCAGGAAGTGCGCATTGTTTGAATAAATTGGCTGCAGTGTGTTCGGCGACAAGGTGATGGAAAGTGAGAAATCGTTAAGCCACACCACAGGACTAAGATAGGGACATCAAGATTCGTTTCATGATTGTGTTCATCTCAGTTGTGTTCAGTATATAAACTATGCTTCCCGAATGCCTCAGAAAATTATCCTTCCCAGCCTAATCCAAAAAAATTGCTCGCGTAGGGGGTGGCATAAAGCCCTCGCTAGCATCGCAAGCAAATGCCGTTCACAAGGAGTGCACCGGGTACTAGCGGAGCCCCAGCGCAAGCCCGAGCCCGAGCCCGAGCCCGAGTCCGAGTCCGAGTCCGAGTCCGAGCCCGAGCCCGAGCCCGAGCCCGAGCCCGAGTCCGAGTCCGAGTCCGAGTCCGAGTCCGAGTCCGAGCCCGAGTCCAAGCCCGAGCCCGAGCCCGAGCCCGAGCCCGAGCCCGAGCCCGAGCCCGAGCCCGAGCCCGAGCTCGGGGCGTTGCCGCCTGGCGGCGCAGATACCTACCTTGGAGGTGGCGGAGAGCCAGGCCATCTCAATTCACTTTCATACTTACCGCGCCTTACATTTCGCAACCACTGTACAATCCCGGACAGCATGTAATGGAACCAGCACGTTACCCATTGAGCCACGGAGACCATTGGACACGGCGCAAAGGTTGGACAATTCACGGCGTACTGTGCATGAAAACTTTGGCTCCGTACGTCTGGGACTTTGGCATTTCTTGACTAAAAAGGGAAATGGATTGCCCCAAGACAATTGAACAATCTTTCGTTTGGTGCCGGGTTCATCAAAATTGCCCTCATAGAATTCGATGCCCCCACCGAATATGCTTCGGTGGGGGCTGTCGACACGGCCCCAGACTTAACCCGCAACTCGCAGTTTATAAGAAGCCGAGCAGACACTTACCCTGCAGGTGGTGGATGGCTGCCTGGAACTCGGCCAGCTTCTCGTCGACGTATTCCTGCGACTGTTTGTCGATGATCTCTTGCGAGCTGGGCGGCTCGTCACCTTGGGCCGGCCCGCCCGCCTGCAGCAGGCACCGCTCAGTCCTCTTCCCAGCCAGCAGGCGTGTCACATCAAACAGGTCACCTCCGCCACACAGGCCACACCCTCTCACCCCCTACTACCATCAGTCCTCGCACCGAACAGCTCTCCCCTCCCCCCTCCCCCAGCAGGCGTTTCACACCAAACAGGCCGTCTCCCCCCCCCCCCCCCCCCCCCCCCCCCCCCCTCCACTCCCAACCCCACCACCATCGGTCCTCGCACCGAACAGCTCTCTCCCCCAGTAGGCGTCTCACACCAAACAGGCCGCCCCCGCTCCCACCCCCACCCCTACCCCTACCCCTACCCCTACCCCACCCCCACCCCCACCTCTACCTCTACCTCTACCTCTACCTCTACCTCTACCTCTACCTCCACCTCCACCTCCACCTCCACCTTCCACCTCCACCTCCACCCCCAACCCCAACCCCAACCCAATCCCAATCCCAATCCCAATCCCAATCCCAACCCCAGCCCCAACCACAACCCTAACCCCACCCCCATCCATCCACCCACCCACCCACCCACCACCAAGACGCCATCGCAGAGAACAGCTCTCTCCACCAACAGATGTCTCACACCAAACGGGCCGCCCCCTCTCCCTGCCCCACACACCCACCACTATCAGTCCTAGCACCGAAAAGCTTTCTTCCCAGGAGGCATCTCACACCAAACAGGCCGCCCCCAAAACCAGTCCTCGCACTGAACAGCTCTTGCCGCCAGGCAGTTGCCACATCGTGGCAAGGCACATGGATACACATCGTGGCAAGGCATACGGCAGAGCCAAAGGCAGAAAAATACAGGTACAGGAAATACCATGGCAGGAAGTAGAAGTTATCCGATTTCCTGCGAGAATAACACAGTCGATCAGCCAAAGCCCTTAGATACCTATCTGAAGCGCGAAAGACAGTGAGGTACAGGGCCGGGGCCGCTCCATCCCAGCCAACAGAACCGACCCAACAAACCGCACTCGTGCCCCGCACCAGAACGGCGGAAAGGTACCGCACCAGCGTAAAAAGCTGTGAATTTGTTGACGCTCGCTAGCGCCCAGAGCTATTATTGGAGCAGCCACCAGTGACGTAAGCTCAGCAGTCGACGGTTTCCGGATCGACAGCCGGCCTCCGAGAAACATGCCTTCGGCCAATGGCGGCGGCGTTCAGAGGCTTGGCGACGTCGGGCTTCGAGCCCAAGGCATTGTAAACATGGCCGACTATGACAATTATGTGCTCGAGTAAGAAGGAAAGATCTGTTTGATACGATCAGTTACAACTGAGGTGTACTTCCTCACATTTCGTGAGAAGATATGGAGATTGCATTTATGGTGTCACTAAGGATGTTCTCCGGCCTCAGTATCCTTAAGAGCTTTCAATTTTCAGTTTTCAGGGGCCTGATAACTGATCAAGAGCCTCAAACTCATTTCAGGTGCATAGTTTTGGGGACAGCATGTCAGCAGCTGAGGCAGTAGGCCCAGTACACCTGCATGCCCAGCATGATAAGACCAGAGTTACCAGGCTTCCAGCGGGCATCGCTCCCAACCGTCACACAGCCCGGAGCAAGCAGCTTAGTCACAGTACAACCTCCAATGCCTACCTGTGCTGGCGGGGAGCCCAGCATTCTGCTGGGCGAAAACAGGCGCTGGGGCGTCATCGGGCGTCCGTCGCGCGTCATCTGGGCGCCCGGCGAGGCGGGCTGGTGAGCCGGCGTCATCCGGCCGGCAGCGGTGGCGCGGCCCGGCGACAGGTCGGGCGTCACCGACCGGCCCGACAGCACGGGCGTGCCCGACCGTGCAGGGGAGGCGAGCACCGGCCCGACGGGCCCGCCGGGGCCAGCGACGGGCCGGCCGGCCGGCTGAGGCGACCAGGGCCGGGCGCCACCGGCACGCGGCGAGCCCACCGGCGTCCAGCGGCCGGGTGAGGCCGGCGGCCGGCACGACCCCGCCGTCGGCGACCACGGCGTCGGGCTGGCTCTGAATGGCGCCCGGTTCGGGTATGACATCCTGGGTCTTGTCGCCAGACTAGACAATAATACTGCTCACTGTGCCATCACACTGCCAGAAAACAGGACCAGCTTGGTGAGAAAAGAATACAACACAGGCTGAACAGCTCAACAAATCATGCATCTTCATGTGCATGATAGTCCAACACATTGCAGTCCAATGGGTTCCACACTCTGAAATGGATGTCCGCCAATGATTTTTTTGGTGAGAATGTTTGAATAAATCTTAAAGATATGAAATGAGAGCACTTAGGGTATGATGTGATATTTTGAGTATCACAGGATGCTACATATCATAACTCTCATAAGTCAGAGTGTCAGTGACTAAACAAACAGAATTCTCATGTGGACATGCTTTGCAATCAGAGGAACACCTATCACTGCCAGGTATGCACCATACCCAAGCACACTACATATCTATGGAGCATATCTTGTATTACATATACATATATATATACATATATATATATACATATATATATATATATATATATATATATATATATATATATATATATGTGTGTTATATAATTCATGAAACACATTCTAGGATGACCTATGATTGGATGGGATGTTGTTCATACCATAACAATCAGATTGTACCAAATGCAGTGGAAGCTATTTTCTGAAATAGGCTTTTAACTCTTAAGAATCCAACCTTGCAATGATTTCCATACATAAATGGCTGGCAACAGATTACTGAACTTGATTGGAAAATAAGCCTTGATAAATAATTAACAATAACATCTCATCTGTGCACCATACGAGCAGCCATCATTAGCACGCAATAAATGGTTTTGTCTGTAGCAGCACAGATCAGAAAAGAGTAGCACTTGGCCAGCCCACAAAAAATCCCTTTGCTGTGATACATGTCTATGCAATATTGCTGTGAGATGAACATAATTTACTGACAAATCATACATTCTGATATACTGGGTAGAATTAAGCATAATTGAAAAACAGCCATAAAAATGTTGTGATCAAGACCATCTATGTGCAAATGGAATGCTAGTCAGCCAGAAATGCTTCCTCATACCAACAACACTGCATGTTCCACAGGTGATGCTGCTCATCACCATGGACTCCAGCAAAGGGCAATATGGGTGCAAGTCTCTCCTATATTTTTAAGAGTTTGCATCATGAATATGAAGAAAATTGTACCCAAGTTGTTATCATGAACGTGGCATTCAAATAGATGTCCTCCAAAACACTGTGGTACCCTGTGTTTCTACCATGACCAAGGTACCTGATGGTCATATGCCAAAACGTCTAGGACTGTTTTCCATCAACAAACACAATCGAAATTACCTTGAACAAACAGTTAATCGTATACCTCTCAGGGACACAGGAATGTCAGTAGCCTCAAAAAAAAATGGGCGGGGCTAATAACTACACCCGGTCTTAAGACCTCAGGATCAACGTCCTTTATTACACGCATGGTCCTCTCGACCCACCTGTCCCTAAGCCTTTCCTATACAGCCTTGCCTAAGTCTATAACATACACATCCCCGACAACACGACGTTTGTGCTTGCATAACCCTCCGCGCCCCCACTCTGCGCCCCACTGTCCAACACGTGCGTGGCACCAGCCTTCATGTAGAATCACCATGGAAGGAAAATGTAAACGCTATCTTTGACGAGAGTGACGCATGAGGCGCTTCTGTTCATTTCCCGCCAAATAATTGCTTCTGCTTTCCAGAGGGAAAACCATCTGATGCCTCATTTCTTTATTCGCGCCTTGACGGCAAATTGCCTGAGACCCCTGTCTTAGCACGAGGAAATTTTGGAACCATTTGTTTGGAAACCCAAAGCAAAAAGCTAAACGGAACAAAAGCCAAAAGAGCAGTGTCTCACAAAGACAGGTGCGTATGCGGAATTTTCCTGAGGACAGCTCCAAGTCTTCGAAGGGGTGGCGCATCAAGAGGCCTATGCTCACAAGAACTACGCTCACAAGACCTACGCCCACAGGACCTAAACTCACAGGACTTATGCTCCCAGAACCTACGCTCACTGGACCTGTGCTAGCAGGACCTACGCTCAGAAGGCCTACGCTCACTGTACCTACGCGCATGAGGCCTATGGTGACGTCGGCACCGAGTTATCGAGTCATTGTTGGTGGGCCCATTGCCACCAATTGTGGAGAGGGTGAACGAAAGCTGAGTGTTACAGACATGAGATAGCGTTGTCCGCTGTTTCATGCCTCTGCACCGCACCGCGTCATTGCTAACGGAACGGAAGGGTGTGGGAACTCCCTCACCCCACCCTTCAGGGAAGGGTGAAGGGTGGGGAACGCAGTGACGAAAATTACACAGAGGCGTCTTGACAATGGGCTTTGATGACATGTTTGTGTCATTGGACCTGAGCTTCCTGCTTCGTATAATGTCCTTGCGATGATTGCAGACTGACCACTGGTACCCCAACTTGGGAGGCATTGCAATGATAAGCTTGTCTCAAGTTTGTGCAGCAATTTTGCAACGCGTGTGTGGTCTTCAAAATTAACCTGGTGTTTTGCAGACTTTGAAATCCATTATTCGGCACGGATTGTCATGCTGGATGTATATTTGTCTTTAACCAGCAACGTTCACAGGGCCGGTGTCGCGGTCTGACGCCTGGAAGATCCAACAATGATTTGGGGATCTCATGTTTTGCTCTTGTGGAACAAACGGGGAACCGAGTCCAAGTCACGCAACCAGTGAAATCGGCTCTGCCGCGAGCGGGGATGGGGCTGCGATAGCACCCTGGAGAACGGTATCGCCACTGATGTGGAATGTGGGGTTGCTCCAAGAGAGAATATCGGATTTGGGCCATTTATTTCTAAGGCTTTTATGTTTGCTTTGTTACGGCAACCATCTGCCTCTACGCAACCAAGAAAATCAGGCGTCATGCGTATATACATGCATAGAGCGCGTTGATTTTCTCCAGGTCGTGGTGGGTCCTGCCACTTCGAAGAAAAGCATTTCGGAGAAGAAAAAAAACGACAAAATGAGTTAAAGCTGGCTGTTGGATATTTTAAAATCAAGCATGATACCTGATACCGAGGATGGCAACGGCTAGCCGGTTCCTTGATGATGATGACTAAGGATTAATGCAGGGTTCGTGCTTGGACTACAACGAGAAAGTGCAAAATATGTCATCATCCAGGCTGTGCTAAGAATGTGATGAGCAAGAATAATATTTGCCACGAATTCAGTGTAAACGGTAGGTGAAATATGTGACGTCGGTAGCGCGTTAAATCACCCTAAAATGAACTCCTTTTTTAAATCTTAAAAATTCACCGGCATAGAGCTTAAGCATTGTATGTGGCTATGCAATCTGTCAATATGCGCACTTGCAGCACAACACAGTTCTTCGACAAAACATGCGCATGTCAGTTCTTGTAAATTAGAACATAGAGGACTCCTCCGTGCATCATTTAAAAAAAAAAATGTTCCTGAGCGCCTGCTCAAATGTATTTGGATTTCCTAAAGAATGCCTCTTCACCGCCTGTTTCACTGAGCAAGCATTGCGAGCCTGCTGCAGTTGCGGGGCACACTGTTACGAGCTGTTGTGTCTGAACGAAAAACAGCCCTCACAGGCCTCGCTTTGAACGTGTGGTAAACGAAACATCCCTTGTGCCAATGTCACTTTGTACACGCTGATTGTAACAAGGTCGCAACTTGACCTGGCTCTTTAATGGCCACGTGGTTACACTAATGTACTCATGTTCGGTGCTGTTGGCTTATTCACGCTCAGCCAGCCTAGCTACCCCCAAACGGCACCGACAAGAATCTTCCTTTCAATGGTCTGCTATCACTGTGGGTTGAAAAAGTGTTTCAAACGCAGCACCTGCACAGCGCCCGATGCACTTACAAATGTGCAGCAAAGGATATTCGGCGACGCTAGCGAATGCACTGTTCTACACATGCGGTCCCTTGGCCTCATGTGTAAAACACGTAATAGCATCACTAGAATCCTAGGACGCTCCGCACCGTCACATGAAAAATAAGACGCACGTTATTGCATCGACTTTACTGACAGTATTCGATCGTCCGAACAATCCTGCCTGGGGGACAGGCTTCTGAAGCGCGATCATGTTCCAAAGAGTCAGTTATCAACTAGGTCTTTATCGGTTCTCATTCCTTCCGTTGTATGTGATACTCTTGCACAGAAAGTAAGCTTTTCTCAATGGCATTTACCAGTTCGTCTAGACTTCATAAATGTTTTGTTGCAAAATACTTGACAATCATCTGCGCATTGTGTAAGCTGTGCCGCGCCAGCGTGACGATATGCACTGCAGGTTTTGGGGTTGCTCAAGTTCAAGCCCTATAAGTATATTGTAAAGGCCCGTGTGAGCAGCCGAATAGTCAGGGGCGTAGCATGTGGTGGAATGTTGACACTTCAAACAGCCAGCGGTGATAGACACTGCTAAATGTCTTTGATGTGTTTACTGGGTGATAAGCGCTACCTGCCAACATCTATGAATCAAATATGCTACTTTAAATGTTCAGGATTGCGTTATCAGTTAATTGACTTCTACAAACCTCATGCTGGCTCAAGGTATCAGACCATTTGATGTAAAACGTGCCGTAAGCTGCTCGTGCACCATATCAGATGTACGATGGGAATAAGCAAGGTTGGTTTGAAGGTTTCTAATGTAGTCAGATCAAGAATATGCCCCACCAGAGATATCGTCCACTTCTATGGGATCATCAGAGAGGTGACCTGTTGATAATGTGCTGGCATAGGGGCGGAAAGGCAGAGCTTGGCAATATAAAGCGTTATGACATCGCGACAACAAGCACAGCTGGTGCTCGTCGACACCATAGCGCATTTTAGTCGATGCTAAGTGGCATGTCGTAGGCAGAAAACCGTTGCATACCCGTCTACTACGGCAATCCCGTGTAATCAGCGAAGTCGCTGTCAACACTTTGTTGCAGCTCTCCCTCCTAATGGCAGCGATGAATCAGTTGGACTGGTTTTTCAGCCCATCCGGAAGCTTTGCTAGCGATGGTCCCTTGTCATTATAATGCGGTGCTCGCTTTCGGGCTTTGCCGTCCCTTTGTGTCATTAGATTTCTTCGCGGCAGTCATATCGGCTGGTTACATGCTCTCAAAGATTTAGTTGCCCGCACATCCCGTCGGGGTGACGAAGTGCACAGCGTTGTGCTATGAGTTCCTCAATACCGTCCGACACAGGGAGAGCGGGCTGGTTGTGACTCTGGACTTCCCACCAGTGGGGCAAGCTTGCCAGGCAGCAGTTTCACGATGGTCGGGAAAGCATCCCACCGTTCATCAGGCGAAGGCCATACCAGTGTTTATTCGGTGATAGTTTTGCATGCCTTTTGTTGCTGTTGTTCTGTTGCGCCTCACGTTCAAGATAGAAATGGCCAAGTAATGGCTACTACAGTGGCTGGGTGTAACATCCGTGTGTTGGATCGTGTGTCGGAGGGTTAGTGATATCCACGTCAAGCAATGATTTGCATCCAACGGGCAACTGAAACGTTGGTGCAAACACAACCTCGATAAGCGAAAAGAAACCCTCGACATCTGACGGAATGGACACAGGCGACACCTGGCTGTCTTCGTGCAGCAAGTTACAGACGAGGTTACTCATGATTAGCGCCGAACGCATACACCGTACACGGTATAAGAGAGATTCCAGCCTGCCGAAGGCTTGATCAACGGCCTGTCGCCATCATTGGCGTGTGCATTGCCCAACTGCGCCACCAAAGTGGTCGTCGGAACGCACACACACATATATGCACATATATATATATATATATATATATATATATATATATATACATATTATGTGTGTGTGTGTGCGTGTGTGTGCCTTGTGCCTCATGTACCTTGACATTCATTTCCTTCACTCGTTTTGCTACTGAAACCAATGCCAAACACCTTTCTCAAAGCTGATGTAATATTAAACGTTCATTATTTATGCACTGCCTGCACTTAAGATCTAGAAGGCTGGAGGCGCCAGACTCACAGTTGGGGGCCAAATTAAACATTGGGGGATGTGGTAGTGCCCACCCTCCCCCCCGCCATACGCACAGAATATAGGTCTAACCCAGTGTCTTCTGAATAAACGATATTTTTTGTCTTCTCTTAGGTCCTCATTTTTGCTCGTCGAGCCTCTTTGAAACGTGTTTGTGGGAAAGCCCCTTGGGCGTTGATTCATATTGATTACAGTGATCAAGCAGTGCATGCTAATCCCTTATATTGGAGGTGTATCCAGGAAGATGATTTGGCATAAAATGCTTAAAAGATCATGATGCTTCTGTACACCTTTGCTGATGAGGGCCATACCACAACGTCATTGTGTACCAATTGAGTGTTGTCAATTTGCTGCCTATAATCTGCCGAATCTGTAATCGTGACAGGATGATTACCGAATGTGATATTTGCTCACTGGTTAGGACAGGGGTATATGCGCGGTAATCAAATATTTTCTTAAGCTATGTGAGTTCACGTAAAATAGAAAATATCTGCATATATATATATATATATATATATATATATATATATATATCCACGCATTTGCATTCATGACAGCATTGTATACATCGACATTTTCGTTATTACGTACTACA